ACCCCGAGATCAACTGGGTTAACCGGACGGCCAACATCAACAACAACGGGAGGAAAATCAGCCTTCCCAAATGGGACGACACGGGAAATATTCCACTCGAGACACTCGCACGCTTTGAAAAGGACGTCAAACGGACCACGGCGGGATTCATGGCGATAGTCGACGAAGCAGACAATGGAGAGAAGCAGACCCAGGAACTTCCTCCAGCAGTCAAGAAAATTCTTGAAGAGTTCCAGGACATTCTCCCCGACGATTTACCTGATCAACTACCACCATACCGAACACATCAACACGAGATCGTAGAAGAGCCGGGGTCCAAGCCGACGTTCCGAGCACCATACCGGCTGAGCCCGACAGAGCTTGCCGATGTGAAAAAACAAATAGAGTATCTCCTGGGGAAAAGGCTGATTCGACCTTCGACTTCGCCATACGGAGCTCCAGTTCTCTTCACTCCGAAGCCGGACGGAAGTCTGCGAATGTGCATCGACTACCGAGCCTTGAACAAGCAGACTATAAAAAATAAATACCCGATACCACGGATCGACGACTTACTCGATCAACTTCGCGGTGCTACGGTATTCTCCAAGCTCGACCTCAGATCGGGATACTGGCAAATTCGTATGGCGGACAACTCTATCCACAAAACTGCCTTTCGAACTCGGTATGGGTCATACGAGTATCTCGTGATGCCGTTCGGACTCACTAATGCACCAGCCACGTTTCAGGCGGAAATGAACCACATCCTTCGGCCCCTTCTGGACGAGTGCGTGGTGGTATATTTGGACGACATCCTGATCTACTCGAAAGACATGAAGCAGCACGTTGAGCATCTGCGACGCGTGTTTGAAATTCTTCGACGAGAACGCTTCTGCGTGAAACTATCCAAGAGCGAGTTCGCGTTGAAAAAAGTCCAGTTCCTTGGCCATATGGTGAGCGCTCAAGGAGTTCACGTGGATCCTAAGAAGATTGAAGCAGTGCGAACGTGGAAGACCCCTGAGAACGTGAAGGAGTTTCAACAGTTCCTTGGATTCACCAACTACTACAACCGGTTCGTACCGAACTACGCCAAGATTGCCGCACCATTAACGAACCTGTTGAAGAAGAATACACCATATCAGTGGGAGGCGAAGTACCAGGAAGCCGTGGAACAACTTAAAACTGCACTCACGTCCGCACCTGTCCTTATCCTGCCAGACCCTGAACTTGACTATGTCATCGAGGCCGATGCTAGCGATCAAGCAGTGGGCGCAGTACTCATGCAGGATCAAGGGAAGGGACTACAACCCATTGCATACCTCAGTAAAAAACTTCACGGGGCAGAACTCAATTACCCCATCCATGACAAAGAGGCCCTCGCCATCGTCAACGCATTTAAGGCATGGAGGTGTTATCTCGAAGGAAGAAAAACGACCGTCTACACCGACCACTGCAGCCTCAAGTATATGAAGACCCAACCAACACTCTCCAGGCGGCAGGTTCGGTGGATTGACTTTCTCGAAACCCACTTCCATTACGACATCGTGTAAAAGGGGGGGGACAAGAACAAGGCAGACGCACTCAGTCGCCCTGCACACGTTGCCGCCCTACAAGTCGATGGCATGAACCCACTTTTGAAGGGACTCTTCACGCATGGATATACCATTGATCCCGAAGTCTCCGTAGCAGAAAAGCGCCATCTTCTGCATTAGGATCAAGACATCATGTACAGTAAGGGATCCACAAAAATATGAGTACCTAATTACCCTCCTTTACGCCAGTTACTACTCGAAGAATATCATGATGTTCTCTACGCGGGCCACTTCGGTAGTAACAAGACGCTTGCCGGTATTGCGAAGCATTATTGTTGGCCCCACATGGCGGATGACGTACAAAAATTCGTCACCTCGTACGACACATGCCAACGGATGAAGAGCAGCAAACAGAAGAAAGCCAGGTTACTACAGCCTCTTCCAGTCCCTGAACAGCCTTGGCAAGTGGTCAGCTTGGACTTCATCACTGGGTTAATACCAACCAAAGCTGGTTACGACGCCATTCTAGTCGTCATCGACAAATTTTCCAAAATGGGACACTTCATCCCGACACAACCAACGGCTCGCACTGAGGAGACTGCGCAATTATTCTTCCGCTACGTCATCTTGCAACATGGCATTCCAACCACGCTGATCTCCGACAGAGACCCGAAATTCACGAGTAAATTCTGGAAGGAGCTCATGTCGCTCATGGGGACCAAACTCGCCATGTCATCAGCCTATCATCCCCAAACGGATGGTCAGACAGAGCGCCTCGACCAGATTGTCGAACAGCTTCTGCGAGCAGCGTGTAAGGACGATATCTCTAAATGGGATGCGCACCTGCCAGTTCTCGAGTTTGCGTATAACAACGCCACGCACGCCCCAACAGGGCAAACTCCTTTCTTCCTCTGTTACGGTCGCAACCCACTCACGCCTCAGCAACCGACAGTACCCGCCACGGTGCAACCCGCACATGACTTCATTACCACTATGCACCAATTGTGGGAGCGCACGCATAAACGTCTCATGACTATCCAGCAGCAACAAAAGAAGCTCGCTGATCGGAGTCGCAACGATCATTCCATCAAAATTGGCGATCAAGTGCTTCCGGATACACGCAATCTCGACATCAGCCATCTTCCGTCTAAGCTCCGACCTCGCTTCTGCGGACCTTTTCTCGTCGAGGCGCAGGTCACTCCAGTAACCTTTTGCTTGCGTTTACCAGCTACCTGGAGAATTCACAATGCCTTCCATGTTCAACTTCTCAAGCCCTATCGGGACCCGAACACGGTCTTCAAAGGTCGCCAGCCGCCGCCGCCACTGCCAGTGATCGTTAATGGGGAACCTGAGTACGAAGTCGAAGCTGTTCTGGCGCACCAACGACGACGTAACGGCACCTTGGAGCTCTTGATTCGTTGGAAAGGCTATGATCCTTCCGAGGATAGCTGGGTACCTGAAGACGACATGGATAACGCCCGTCGTCCTCTCCAGGACTACCTTGTAAAGTAGGGTGTTATTTCTACCACCCAACTTTGAGGGGGGGAAGTGTGAGAGGACGTCCCCGTTATAATATTTGACATTATTATATTTTTCCTTTATCTTATTCTCCTTTTTCTCCTCTTTATTTTGATCTTTATTTCATCTCAATCGGCCTACTATTCTATTTTCTAGAGCCTTCTATTTGTCTCTCATATTTCCTACTTTTCCCACCGACATATCTATTATACGGCACCGACAGCGCCGACAGCGGTGTATACGGTGTAATCTGGGCGTAATCCCAAGTGCCAATAGCCTTGCGTGCTTGTGCGCACTTGTGATTGTAGTATCGGGAAGGGCGTGTTCCCGAAGGTTCGTTTTATCTCGTTTATCCTTGTATTTTCCGAGTATAAAAACGCCTTGTATTCAGTTTTAGTGACAAGTTTCGATTGAGAATTCGATCCTGTGACACACGCAATGATGAGAAAGGCCTAAGTTGTGCGTCTTGCCATCAATGCATTTCTTGTCGAGGAGGGTAAGAGTGTGGAGAAACTTTACCGCGTGCGAGATGATGAGTGGAAATCACTTGAGACGCTTGAGAAGATTCTTAGCCATTTGCCGAAGTGACCAAGCTTTTGGAAGCGTCTGAGTATGCGACGGTATCCTTGTGCATACCTGTTGGTCAACAAATTCATGGACACCTTGGATGAGGTCATCAACGCAAATGGGGAATTTGCAACTGCGTGCAACAAAGGTCTTGAGAAGTTGGAAAAGTATTACAACCGCTCCTCCGAGCAGTGCACCATGGCAACCGTGCTAGACCCGCGTTTCAACCTTGGGTACTACGCCGCGGGTGCGTCGGAAGGAGGCGGGCACGTGAGTGTGAAGAATGTGGAGGAGCGCATCAAGAGGCGCTATGTCGAATACGAGAAGAGAGAGAGTGGTGTCCTTAGCCATTGTTGCCTTCAGTGGCATCTCCACTGCTGGTTGTGGAGGAGGAAATGGAAGGGTGGGAAGGAACCTTGGGACCTCCAAGAAGGGAGATCAGCCCAAGGAAATTGAACATGTAGCAGATCTTTTTCTTCCATGGAATGAAGTTGGAACCATCCGGTTCCAAGATAGGAAGGGTGTGCCAACCGAGAGGCGTCTCAACTTGAGCCATCAAGTGTGCGACGTTCACAAAGCTAGAAGCCTAGCTCTGACAGCATGCCATTAGTCGGGGTGGTTCAACTTCTAAGACTCCCATAGAACTATGGACCGGTGCACGTCTGGGCGTATCACACCTCCGCATCTTCAGTTCACCCGTTTCAGTCGCCCTACATCTTCGGTTGTGATGTTCAACAAGGACATGGTGGCCCTTGGCAAGATGCGGCGGTGGATTGAAAACCCGCGAGTGGTGCTGCTAGACTCGCCTTTGGAATATAAGAAAGGGGAGAACCAAACCAACGTGGAGCTTCTTAAGGAGGAGGACTGGTGAGTAGTCAAAAGGGGTAAGGGGGAGGGGGGAAAGTGAGCAGCAACATTTGTATGACGCAATTTAGTGCGATAGAAATCGAGAAGCCGCGAGTCGTGCTGCTTAACTCCCCTTTGGAGTACAAGAAGGGCGAGAACCAGATGAACGTCGAGCTGCTGAAGGAAGAGGACTGGTGAGCGGCCAGGAATGAGGTGGGGGGCTGCAACATTTGGCACGTTTCAGTGACAATTAGAACCCAAGAGTGGTGCTGCTGGACTCGCCCCTGGAGTACAAGAAGGGCGAAAACTAGACGAACGTGGAGCTTCTGAAGGAGGAGGATTGGTGAGTGAAAGAGGATGGGGTGGAGGGGAGGGGTGGGGGCAGCAACTTGAGAACCCACGAGTCGTGCTGCTGGACTCACCTCTGGAGTACAAGAAGGGCGAGAATCAGACCAACGTTGAGCTGTTGAACTAATATCACTACCTCCTCTCCCACGCGCCCTCACTGCCCCTTTTCGCCCATGTCCTTGCCCTCTCTGCCATCTCCCCACATGCGCCCACATGCGCACAACCTCTACAAGTCAGTGTGCTGTTCCCTGCCCTCCAAGTTTCTGGGCTGCTCGCTCCCTACTTGCTGTTGCATTTCCACTCCTCAATGCTGATGCTGCTTCTGGCGGCGCTGCTGGCACTGGCGGTACTTGTTTGCAGCCCACAACCCTCTGCTTCTTCTCCTCCCCCACTCCACTTCCCACCATCCAAACTAGAGTCAGCACCCCCCTCACTTCCCCGTTTCCCATCTTCCCCTCCCACCCCCCGTTTCCCATCTCCCCTCCCCCCTCCCCCACTTCCCCTACTCCATCCCTGCTCTCTTTCTAATACGCACGTGCATCATCTCTCCTGTCCTCCTGTCCCACCACCTTCCCTTCCCCCCGGCACCCCAACAGCACGCGCAAAGTGCTAACACGTCCATAGGCATTGAAGGCGACACAGGTGCCCTCACACGCACGCATTCACAGGTACACACGTGCATCATGTCTCCTTTCCTCCTGTCCACGCCTCATCCCTCCCCCCCCCCCCCCCCCCCCCCCCCCCCGCACCCCAACAGCACGCGCAAGGCACCAACACGTCCATAGGCATTGACATTGACACGGGTGCCCTCACAGACATGAAGGAGCTGGGGGTGAGTGGTGGGGAGTGGTGGGGAGTGGTGAGGGAGATTGTTGGGGAAGTCTGTTGGGGGGGGGACAGTGCTGTGGGGAGGGCTGAGAGAGGGCATTGGCGGCGACACGGGTGCCCTCACAGACATGAAGGAGCTGGAGGTGGGTGGTGGTGGGTGGTGGGGAGTGGTGAGGAAAGTGCTGGGAGTGTGGTTTAATGGTGTAGTGATGGTGGAGTGAGGGAAGCGCCACTGGAGGTGATGTGGCATGCGGCAATCCTTTGCATTTTTCCATGCGAAAAAAAACCTTCTCTGTGTTATTCCATGCGCAGCTTCTTTGTCTTTACATGCCCGTCCCTTGTTTCCTCACGCTCCTTCCCGCTCTTGTAGCAGGTGTCCACACTCCATCATGTCTTCTTCTTGCCTCGCTGCCTCCTTGCCTTCCTGCCTCCCTGCCTCACGCCTCTCCCTGTGTCCGCTGCCAGTTGTGGCAGCCATAGGCCGTGCAGGAACAGACAGGGAAAGCACTGAGGCTGTGTGTGTACTGTTTTGCCTTTCACACCCTCCACTCATCCGTCTGCCTCCCTACCTCCCTGTCACCCTACATCCCCGCCTCCCTATCCCCCTTCCCCACTCCCTGCCAGGTGTGGCGCCGTATGCAGTGAAGGTGCAGACAGTGAAAACAGTCATCGAGGCGGCGTGCATGCTGCTGGGCATCGATGACATTGTCAGCGGGCTCAAGAAGAAGCAGGCGGGCGGCATGTGTGTGGTTTAGCCTTTTACACCCGCCACTCATCCCCGTGTCTCCCTTCCTCCCTGCCTCGCGGCCTCCTGGCCTCCCCACCTCCCTGCCCCCCTGCCTGCCTATCTCTGTGCCTGTGTACCAGGTGTGGGAGCCGTATGCGGTGAAGGTGCGGACGGTAAAGACGGCCATCGAGGCGGCGTGCATGCTGCTGCGCATCGACGACGTCGTCAGCGGGCTCAAGAAGAAGCAGGCGGGCGGCGCACCAGGAGGGGGCAAGCCACAGCTGGACACGGGGGATGACGTTGACTCGGAGCAGATGCTGGCCGAGTGAGGGGAGTGTGTTGCGGTGGTGTGCGGTGGAAGCCGGGAGGAGGCAAGCCGCAGATGGACACGGGGGAAGACGTTGACTCGGAGCAGATGCTGGCTGAGTGAGGGGAGGGGAGGGTGATGCGGTGTGTTGCGGTGCTTTGTGGCGGTGGTGGAGGTGGTTCTTCTTGTCATGAGATTGCATGGGTCCGGTGGCAAGCCAGGAGGGGGCAAGCCACGGCTGGGCACCGGCGATGACGTTGACTCGGAGCAGATGCTCGCCGAGTGAGGGGCGGGGAGGGAGATGCAGATGCGGTATGTTGCGGTGCTGTGCGGTAGTGATCTGTAGAGAGTGTTGTCCGGCATGTACTGTACCATATTTTCGAGTGCATGGCATGACATGACATGACACCCCCCCAAATTGAACACTTCTTTTGAACGACACATGCGGATCTGGGTGTTCAATTCTGGTTTCTAGGGGTAGGGGTGGCTGAGAGGCTGAGAGGCTAAGGGACTAAGGGACTATGCCTCTCTCTCTCTCTCTCTCTCGCTCTATCTCCGCTGGGTTAGAAGAAATGAACCCCCAGCTGAATATTGAGCCACCAGACCAGGCCCAGGGCCTTATATACTAGGGGTAGGGGTGGCTGAGAGGCTGAGAGGCTAAGGGACTAAGGGACTATGCCTCTCTCTCTCTCTCTCTCTCTCTCTCTCTCTCTCTCTCTCTCTCTCTCTCTCTCTAATGGTCCGTGTATTGATAGGGTTTGAAAGTACAAACATGCAAGGTATATAGTGCAAGGTCTAGCTAACCAAATTGACAACCAAACAAACAAGGCATACTACTCACTCAACTACCACAACACCACCCACTCTAGAGCTCCAAAAGAGGCTCAACCACCACGAAGCAGTCCCCAAGGTGCATCTCCTGCTCTATGCCTCCTACAGGAGGGTTTTTTGCCACCGCTGCCTCTCCCAGCTTAAGGAGGAGCCCCACGGATTGGGCCCTCTGAAGAGCTACCGACCATCGCTGACGGAACTGGTGCAGGAACTTTGCGGCATAAAATGATTTTGAATCGGCGTTGAAGTGTCGCCGAGCCGCCGTGTCCGCTAAGAGTTTGAGGAAGGTGGGTACCTCCGCGCATGGGCAACCGTAGGTGTCTACGGCTAGCGGGAAAAAGCCAACCGTCTCTGGTCGGTTGGCGTAGTGCTTAATCTTTTTGTCGGCTTGCTCCCTGGCCGCCCACCCTCTGCCTTTCTGTGCCTCTGGGTCCCTGGTGCTGATGGGATCCGTGATGGTGACGTCACAGACATAAACCGCCCCACTGCTCCTATCTGTCATGGTGAAGTCGGCGGTTTGTTCCTCAATGGGACAGTGAGCGGCAGATTCGCTGTGAACTATGAAGCCCGCGTGTTGCGCCATGCTAATGCATGCATCCCGCAGCTCATTGTGAGTGTTAATGCGGTGCTTGCCTGTGCCGCAGCGGAGGAGGTGGTTAGGGAGGCGGGGTTCCGTGATAGCTGTCTGATCCGCGCAGTCGCAGTTCTTAGGAGTTGAGAAGGGGAGCCCTAGACGGAAGCGCACGGCGTTGGCGAAGTGTACGGGGCCTATCTGTCGCGTGGCTTCGATCGGGATCGCGGTTAGCCAATCACCAGTGCCGTACCCAGTCAGTGAGAACATACGTTGCGTGTGGCCTGATAGCAGATTCAGCCGCATGCGCCTTGTTGCCTGGACCTGCGCGGCGTATCTACTCCCGTGCACCTTCAGGCCGAGCACATGCTGGAGCCGAATATCCGATCGTTCCAGCCTCTCCTTCTCCAGGATCTCACGTGCATCTAACGGTAGCGCCACTTCGCACTCCGAGAGCCAGGAATGCAGAGGTGTGCCGTCGTCCCGCGGCAGGAGCATGTGGTTCTGGGCTACCGTTAAAGCACTCGCCGGCAGGAAGAGCGCCGCTTGGGTGAAACTTGCGGTGAACCCATAAACTCCTTCTACAAGCGGGTCCGTAATGCCGATGCCGCCTAACGATGTGGGAAGTGACGCCTGTTCCCAGACGCGAGCTTGCTCAGTCCGGCAGGTTGGTGTGCGGATGTCGCAAGAGGTGAGTAGGGTGGTAAGTAGGTCCCGACCCCACTGGCTCCAGGTGTCGCGAGGTAGGAGGTGGAGAGGAGTCGTTCTTATGAGATAGGCTACCCGTCTGGAGATGCATCGCGTGAGTAGGAGTGCGGCCACCTGGGGGTCGGCACGTTCAATGAGTGGTAGAGGTTTCGTCATCTCGTCGAGCTGTTCCGTCAGAAACGAGGCTGCTCCGGTGTGAGTCCCCAGGTAACTACCTAGAAGTCTCACTCCATCCTTGGAGTATGGCACGCCGGGCGGGAGTTGTGGCTGTGTGCCCGTGGTGGAACTCCAGGCCGAACATTTCTAGGGATTATGTGCCAGGCCCAGCTGTGCAAGTTCGGCTGTGAAATGCGTGAATGCAGCTACAGTGCGAGACGAGTCACCCAAGAATGTGACGTCATCCGCATACGCCAAACACAGCACGCCGGGGTGTGTCTCAGCTGTCTCACGAAGCACAGGGTGTATTCCTGCTGCGAATAGTAGCGGGCCGAGTGGGTCCCCCTGCCGGACACCCCGTTCACTTTGCAGTGGGTCGCAGTTGAAGTTTGCGTCTAGGAGCAGTTGCGACGGGTTACCGTAGGTCAGTTTAACAAACGGCAGCAGTGGCGAGAGTGTGGGTTCCTGTAACGCTGTAGCAATTGCCTGTCGCGAGATACTGTTGAAAGCGTTTGAGATATCTGCTTGCAGAACCAGGCTGTTGGGACGGGCATCCAAAAATGCCCTGGCTGCATGGATTACTGCCTCCGCTCCCCCGGGCACTGCTACACCGTACTGGAGTGGCAGGAAGTATTCGCGGGCAGCCTCTCCCATGGCTGTCAGGGCTGCCTTGGCTGCCAGTCTCGTCAAACATTCGCCTACCGCGATTGGCCGGGCGCCTCCACCAGGTTTGGCCAAGGCTATTAGTCGCGAAGCTGTCACGAGTTTTGCAACCGGACCTGGCAATTTGCCTCCAAGCATGGTATTGACCAAGGCGTGCAGATGGGTGCTGACCATCGCGTTGGTGATCGCCGAGTCGCGCATGTGCTCAAATGTCGTCCCAGACGGTCCGGCTCCAACTCCGTTCTCGCATCTCCCCAGGAGCTGGCGAACTCTGCGTGGGTTATGGACAGCGTTGACTCGGGTGGCGCGGGCCAGGACACCGCGTCGTGTTCTGCGGGCGGGTGTTTCTGGCGGAGCTCCTCCAAGATTTCCAGACTGGGGGTGCAGACTGGTGTTGACTCCAGAGCCAGCACGGCTCGGCGTAGGCTGCCACGTTTCGCCAGTCCTTCGGCTCGGCTGATGACCCCTGTCACGTCTGGCTGGTGTCGTGGCGGTGGGGGTGTGTTGACCGAGTCCACCGCGTCCTGGTACAGCTGCTCCCATTCGCCTCGCTGGAAGGCTCGGGGCCGGGCCTTGATCCCTGGCCAATTCGGTCGCTGTGGCGAGGCTTGGCGAAGTGTCAGGCGCAGGAGAAAAAACAGCAGGCGCCATCCTGTTTCGGATTCAGGGTTTCGCGAAAGGTGGAGTAACGGCGTCAGAAGCACCAGCGAGAACAGTTGGCAAAGGTTTGGCGGTAAACGTCGGGACAGCGAAGGCTGACGACTGTCGTTGAGTGCCGCAATGTCCCAGTTCGCAATGGATGCGAACAGGTCTGCGCGCTTCGCTAACTCGTCAGGCGAAAAATAGCGGGGGGTCAGGGGGGATTGGCGCGTCGTGACATTGGTGGCGGTTCGATTTCGTTGAGCGCGGCTCGCCCTCGTGGTAGTAGTTGGCGTTGGGATATCACCCGTTCGATCGACATCCGACGGTCGATGGCTCGCCTGTGGCACTTGTACTGCCGAGTGTCCTGCATCGGCCGCTCCTCTCCCCAATGTCTCCCTTGCCCTACTTTCATCTTCTGGTCCGTCATCCTCACTGGAGGGGAGTGGTTCTTCCCTATAAGAAGGGTCTCTCAAATCCTCGTCTTCATTAGTTGTTTCTAGCTCGTTTAAAGCCAGACGTGCTGCTGCCATGACATGACACTCTCAAAGTTAGCGAACAACGGAATGCATGAACTAGCATAGTGCTGGATACAAATAGGAAACCGTAATATCTGTACCCTCGAGAATGCATCTCACTACAGCCTATAACTATTATATTTGACACACCCCCATAGGCTAAGTGAGGGGCATCAAAACAAGCAAGGCAGAGAAACGGTCACCACACAGTCGCCAAGAAACAAAGCAAGCTCAGGGTGGATCTCAAGGACACCACACAAATTCCGAGCTCAAGCATGCAGCCACAAGGCCAGTTCAAGAGTTCACTAGGATATATATAGGAAAGTACAACAAGCAAAGCAAGCAACAAGACTACAGCAACCGAGGGCCTACCTCAACAAGCCCCAACTGCACACAGAACTTGTGGTGGTCACCAAGCGCCAAGGCCTTGGTGAAGACGTCTGCAGTGTTGGCCTCTGAGGCCACAAAGTCCAGGCATGCCTGGCCGCGTCGCTGCAGCTCTCGCAGGAGGAAGTACCTTGCGTCAATATGCTTCTCTCTGCTCTCTCGTCGAGGTTCTCGACAGAGGAAGATCATGGCCTTGTTGTCAGCGTACAAGGTCGGTGCAGAGCAAGGCCGCTCACCAAGGTCGTCGAGCAAGAAGGTCAACCAGCGAAGCTCCTGTGCCGCCATGGCACCAGCGCAGATCTCTGCCTCTGCACTGGAAGTAGCCATAGACGACGACCGTGTAGACCTCCACGACACAGCACCAGCTTCCAGACTGAAGCAGTAACCCTGAGTCGAGCGCTGAGTCTCCACGTCGTCAGCGTAGGAAGAGTCGCAGTGACCAGTCAACACTACTGGCTGAGTCCTTCCAAGCACAAGCCCCATGCCTGATGTAGTCGCCAGGTACCTTGCCACCCTCACAGCAGCTGTTGAGTGGACAGGACGGTGTCT